CCTCAAGCTGATTGTCATGTCAGCCACCCTCGATGCTGGCAAGTTTCAGCAGTACTTTGACAATGCTCCCCTCATGAACGTGCCCGGTCGCACACATCCCGTGGAGATTTTCTACACGCCGGAGCCGGAGAGAGACTACCTGGAGGCAGCCATACGCACAGTCATTCAGATACACATGTGCGAGGAAATCGAAGGTAATTTGAAACTGCCTGAAAGGCAAACCCTCACTGAATCTGACACTTCATTCCCCTCCCCCTCGTCAGGTGACATTCTCATGTTTCTCACGGGCCAAGAGGAGATCGAAGAGGCGTGCAAGCGCATCAAGCGTGAAATCGACAATCTGGGCTCGGACATTGGCGAGCTTAAGTGCATTCCGCTGTACTCCACGCTGCCGCCCAATCTGCAGCAGCGCATCTTCGAGGCAGCTCCACCGCCGAATGCAAACGGAGCCATTGGCCGCAAGGTGGTGGTGTCCACCAACATTGCCGAGACCTCGCTGACCATCGATGGTGTGGTGTTCGTGATTGATCCGGGCTTTGCCAAGCAGAAGGTCTACAATCCACGCATTCGCGTGGAGAGTTTGCTGGTGTCGCCCATTTCCAAGGCTTCGGCACAGCAGCGGGCAGGTCGTGCCGGTCGTACCCGGCCGGGCAAATGCTTCCGCCTGTACACGGAGAAGGCGTTCAAGAACGAGATGCAGGACAACACATATCCCGAGATTCTTAGATCTAATTTGGGTAACTAGCGGGTAAGGGAAACCTTTGACTTTTGCTTAATATTTCCTTTTTCCCCTCGCTCTCAGGCACTGTGGTGCTGCAGCTCAAAAAGCTGGGCATCGATGACTTGGTGCACTTTGACTTTATGGATCCCCCGGCACCGGAGACTCTGATGCGTGCCCTGGAGCTACTCAACTATCTGGCCGCCCTGGACGATGATGGCAACCTCACAGACTTGGGCGCTGTCATGTCCGAGTTCCCGCTGGATCCGCAGCTAGCAAAGATGCTGATTGCCAGCTGCCAGCACAACTGCTCCAACGAGATACTTTCCATAACGGCCATGCTGTCGGGTGAGAATAACTAGCAAACAAATCAATCAAAATTCCGAGCTTAAGTTGAGGCGTGCCCCCCCCCCAGCCAACAGGCGCCAAAGGGAAGAGGTTTAGCTATAGCTTCAGGGTGTGGGTTGATCCTTTGAAATTGAAAGTTGCAACAGGCTAGCGGGGTTCTCCTTTTTGTTTGTCAATCGTAAACGGACGACCCAGACGCTACGTGGACGCTCTTAAGTATTTTGTTAAGCAAGAAAAAAAAAGTGCAAAGAAAAAAGTTTCTTCAATTTATTTGTTCTTTGCATTCAACACGAAAAGTAAAGTTGCACGTGCGTAGCCATGCCCCATTATAGTGGCCTTCATTCAAAATGGAATGTTGAACGAGCGGCAGCAGGGCCTTGCTGTAATTTATTATTTCCCCCCTGGGCCACGCACTTGCAACTCACAAATGCAATCAATTTTTCGAATCACAAGCCTCTAGATTGCGTAGCTGACACACAGTAAGCAGTAATCGAATCGAATCTATTTGTTAATATAAAAAATATACAAAAATAAGAAACAATGTTCTAAACATGTGCTTAATCGACCAACTGCTAAAACAAACGCCAAACGACCAAAGTGCCACAATGCTTCGTGCGTCCCAATGAGGCCAAGAAGGCGGCCGACGAGGCCAAGATGCGATTCGCACACATCGATGGAGATCATTTGACGTTGCTGAATGTCTACCATGCCTTCAAGCAGAGTAAGTAGAGGTACCCTCTCCCGTCTGCTATCCTCATGCCAAGCTCTTCTTACAGGCAGTGAGGATCCCAACTGGTGCTATGAGAACTTCATCAACTTCCGTTCGCTTAAGAGCGCTGACAATGTGCGCCAGCAGCTGGCACGCATTATGGATCGCTTCAACTTGCGGCGCACCAGCACGGAGTTCACCTCCAAGGACTACTATGTAAACATACGCAAGGCCCTTGTGCAGGGCTTCTTCATGCAGGTGGCTCATCTGGAGCGCACTGGCCACTATCTGACCATCAAGGATAACCAGAATGTGCAGCTGCATCCATCGACGTGTCTGGATCACAAGCCCGATTGGGTCATTTACAATGAGTTTGTGCTAACCACCAAGAATTATATACGCACGGTGACAGATGTGAAGCGTGAGTAGCTTAAATAAATCTTTGGTTAGCCTCTGCTGATCTCCCATTTCCTTCCTTTTCCAGCTGAGTGGCTCATCAGCCTGGCGCCGCAATACTACGACCTGAACAACTTCCCTCAATGCGAGGCGAAGCGTCAGCTGGAGTTGCTGCAGCAGCGTATGGAAACCAAGCAGTACCAAAAAGGATTCTAAGGTTGTCCGCGCTGCCCTTTAGAAGTAAGCAAATTTATGCAGGAGTTATTTGGCTATGGTGTGTGTAGCCCTGTGGGGTGGTGTTAATTTTTTGAAAACTGCTGCGGAATGAAGTAATCCGTTTGCTTTTTATTTGTTTGATCAATTTCAACTTAGGCACACCGTTCGCATTAATCATTTAACCAGCAGCAGCAGATACCAACTCCGTTTAGTGAATAGTGTTAATAAACAGAAGCAAACATTTTTATATCTAATTGTGGCCTGTCCGATGTTCCTATCCATTTGTCTTCTGGAATTGTATGAGTATGACCAAATAGGTGGCTATGGCTGAAGCGAACTGCAAGCAGAGGAGATTCAGAAGAGCTACAGCGGAGATTTCTTCCACTTACCGATGTCAGAATGTTGCGATTGACGCGGCACAAGCCAGAGGCGGAGAAATCCGAGTCGACCACGAGCAGCTGCTGCCAGAACTTCTTCACCGCTTCGGCCAGTATGGGCTCGTGCACCTTACGCTCGATTTCGCAGACAATTTGAATGGTTTTGCGTGACTCGCGGGCTGCCAGGTGGCAGGGCTCGACCACCATGAGCAGGCGAAATGAGTGCAGCAATATCCAGAGTGCCTGCACCCACATGTAAGCGTCGTCACGCTTGCTGAGCAGCTCCAGAAACAAAAAGTAGGCGGTGGCCACCAAATGCAGCAGACAGGAGACGAGAATGAACAGAACGGCGATGCCAAAGGAGCTGCGAAATGAAACGAAATGAAGGAGGGACACTACACGGATGGGACTGACTACAAACTTGGATAAGAGCAGCACACACTTGGTCAGCGAATCGTGATTTTCGGCCATGGTTTGGATGAGCAGACTCTTGTTCTTGGCTGCAAAAGAGAAAGGAGCAGTTAAGGGGAAGGCCACTCGCGGTATGGAGTCTGGTTCGTGTCACCTGCAGACTCATTTGGCAGCATTTCGCTGCTCAGTTTGGTCAGACTCGAGTGCAGGGCGGTGGGTGTCATCGTTGCATTTGTGCTCACGGTCTTCACGGCGCTCATTTTGCGCAGCTTCAGCGCGTCGTTGGACTCCTTTGGCTCTGGGGAGGCAGAAAGTCCAGTACTTTCTTGAATCATACGACTAAGAACTCCACTTACCGCCCAGAAAGCTGCTGCTGAGCATCTGATTGAGTCGTCTAAAGCGTCTGCCCAGCCCATAGGCCGTGTTGGCAAAGTTAATGTGCAGTCCGGTGAGTATAAAGTACAGGCTATAGAAGGGTATATACCAGTGCACATTGAGCTCTAGATAACAGAGAGGAAGCGTGAGACACAGATCAGATTGGTATTGAGAGCCTGCCTACCCGTATCCGAATCAGATATGTTCATCTCCTCTGCTTTGTGTATCCAAGTGCCCACATCCAGGCCGAGCAGCGCAGATATTGTGAGCAGAGATACGCCGGCCATGCCCAAGGCACGCCAGCGATCCCTCCTCGACTGGGTGCAGGCATTCAGAGTGTTGTCAATCTGCAAGAGCAATGGAGGAAAGGGAAGTCTTGTTTTGGGGTTCAACTGATCGTGCTGAGAGATTCTCACCCTGTACAAGCGAGAATTTAGTTCAAGCGTTTCGCGCAGACTGAGAAGGCCACAGTAAACACCCGATACAACGGCCAGCACAACGACAGACACATCCAGGGCCGTAACCACCTTAGACGTTGCCGATTTCATTCTAAAAGATGCACTTTTGATTTGTTTTCGGTTTGCACATATGCAGTTTGCAGTTTGTTGGTTAGAGGTGGCCAAAGGTGATTAGATAGAGAAAAAGGAAGGAAGTAAAACAGGCGCATTGATGGGACGCAGACAAACACGCACACACACACAGAGTTTAGTGTAGAAATTAATTAAGTAAAAAGAGAGCCAAAGACAGTGCAAGATGCTTACCGAACGGGAATTTTAGCATTTGCATCAAAGAGTAATCCACGATAGGTGAGAAAAACTAAAGGAAACGGAAGAGAACTGCTAGCTAATAGCTTCTACATTCTACACTCTCCACTGCTCACCCATTGCCACGGTCAAGGATGCCGAATAGATCGAGAAGAGCCAACTGCGACGAATCTCATACTGACCCTTGGAGTTCTTACGCGTGGCATACGGCGCCAGTGCCAGCAGTTTGCTTATGTAAAAGATGCCAATGCTGGGCTCCGATATTTCCATCGTGTATTAAAGCAGAGGTCAGACTTTCACGACACAACTTCTCGTCGAGAACTGTTCGAGAATGGCCGCCAGCCATGGCTCTTAAATTGTAAAACGCTGTGCAAATACTGCGCTCTAATATTTGACTATTATTAGGGAATGGCCATAGACATAGTCCCCAACCCACTGCTGGCACATGCCAGACACCAGACAGTGGCGAAAAAGGTAACACATTTGCTTATCAAAAGGTTCGGCAAGTCTGTCGGTTCTGTAAATAATAATTAGCGTGTGAAAATACCCAATAGGCAAGGACACAGGAGCCAATTATCTCCGCCACAAAATGTGTGCCTGTGCCTGTGCGCTGACAGCTACAGCTCAAGCTCAAGCTCTGTGTGCTGCTGTATGAAATACAATACGAACAATGGACACACTAGACAGCTGGACAATGGACACTCCCTAATTTATTTGTAACAATTTAAAGGGTTGGGTTAAGGAACGCTAGAGCCAGCAGCACATGTAAATTTCACAGGAGTTCAGTTTTGCATTTCCATTCCCGTTCTATTTCTGGACGGTGTAGGCATTGAAAACCTCAATCCAGTAACCATCGGGATCCTTAATGAATGCCAATCCCTTCATGCGACCATCGTCTGGCTTCTTGACAAACTCGACGCCCTGTTCCTGGAATCTACAGACAAAGATTAGCAGTGCTTAAAGCTCTTTCGGGTTGATTGTTTACCGCTTGCAGGCAGCATAGACATCGGGCACCATCACGCCAATGTGTCCAAAGCCACGAGGGTCACTGTTGCCATTGTGGTAGCCCTGTTCCAGATCGTTTTCAGTGCCCCAGTTGCTGTTAACGAGAGAAGCACAATGTACAGTCCCTGCCCCAAGCCATGAAGCTCAAGCGGAACACTCACTGCGTCAGCTCAATGGTTGCCTTGCGGCTCAACGCCCAACTCCTGCGCTCCTTGGGGTCCTTGGGTATATCGTCGGCATTCTCATAGCTGTAGGAGAGTGATAAGCAGAGTAAGTATGTCCCATATGCTGTGCCCTCTACCCCACATAACCTACCCCATGAAATACAGGGAGAACATGGACTCGGGAAAGTCCAATTTCGCCAGCAATGTCATGCCAAGGACGCCCGTGTAGAAGGGCAGCGACTTGCGGGGATCCTTGATGCGGTACATGGTTTGTTGGAACAGGAAATCCTAAAGAAAATCGCAATGACGCGTGTTAATAGCGACCTTCCCACGACCGGCGCGGACCGGCTCGGCACTTTGCGGCTATTTGCCACGGCTCACCTGTGTTCCCTCCTCTGGCTTCTTGCACAAGGCTTCTGCCTCAGCATTGCTTATGCCTGTGACATCGCCCATTTCGCTGTTCTTCAATTAATCTCACACCTGTTGTACAATTTTTGTTGAAATGTGCGTATGCGTGTTATCAGCAGTGTGACCGCGGATTTATCGATAAGACATACATACCGCACGTCCCTCAAAATGTACTCTTTCATTTTCAAAATATACCGTAAATCTTAGACCATTTTCCTCTATTTTGATGTTTCATTAGTTAGAATTCTAAGCGGTATAATTACAATTTTATCCAATTTATCAACCAGTTTTCAACAAGATTGGCTAGTTTTGACTTACTTTTGTTGGAATGTTTCCAAATTAAGTTTAAAATTAAAAAGGGAAACCAACAAAAATAGCATACAACGTTGCGTGAGTGAGGAGCAATGTTAAGTCTTTGGCAATTTGTAGCTGGACAACCAGAAGTATCTGCCATTGGATACCCTATTTTCATTAATTATTATTAAAATTCCCTTCATTGCACAGAAATCTGATTTAGATTATTCAAGCTATCGCGATTGTTGCTATCGAAAAATACCATAAAATCCATCGGATTTAAGCGGCACATTAAAATTTGAACAGGAAGCACCAAAAGTCTGCGTACCAACAATCCCCTTCCCTCTAATAAGAAGAACCGACAAATCGTGCATCCATTTTATTTTGCTTGTTGACTGTTTAATTGTCGTTATTAAAACTAATTCAACTGAGAGTATTTGTTAGGTTTGGTATGTATGAATGAATGTATGTATGTTTGTTGGTTTGTATAAAGTCGTGTACATGTATGTATATAATATATGTATGTATTTATATGTATATGTATATATATTTTTGCTTACCAATTAGACTAAGATACTCTCATTGTTTCATTGTGATCGTAGGCATTTTGTGGATTCGATTCTATAATTATTTCTATATTTCTTTGCATATGTATATATTGTGCTTATGATTATCTGAATCATTTTGTCATGTAGCTAGTTTGTATTTGTAGTTATTGGTGATTTGCTTCTGCAGTCTGCCAGCGAGACGTGGAGAGGGGAGCTCTACCTACTACACTCACTACTATTCAAGGCCTGATTACTATCATAATATAGCATGTACAAAAAATAATTCCTATCATCTTAAATCTCTCTCTTTCTCTCCAACTCTCCCGCTCATGTGGCTATCTTCCTCTTCTATTGGTCGTTTTCCTGATGGATGGTACATTATAAATACAATTCATTATTGTGTTGGCAAATCAAATCGTGTTCATATACATCTATTAGTAAGTGTGTGTCTGGACTTTTGGGCCACGGCACGCACGCTCACTCTCAACCCAATTGGAAGGATTTTTAAAGTATTACAATATACAATAAGTGCACCACAATAGTGCTCAATCTGTACCCATGGATAGTTTTGATAGTTTACGGGCAGTGGCTGGTGGATAAGGGCAACAAAATACAGTGGGTTACACGGTTCGGGCGTCTTTTTTCGTTTCACATTTATTTCATTTTTCATTGCTTTAAACTATTGCAAGCAAATAACAAAATCATAATAATAGCTATTACAAATTAATTAAAAAACTACAAATAAATTCAAATAAAACATGAGCTAAAAACACATACAGATGTAGCTTGATGTCTTCATACCGCACAAAATGGTTAACTAATAAAGATAGGATAAGATAAGGCGGAAATCAATTGATAATAAACATATTTATAGGGGATTTGTCGCTTCCATAACAATGCCAGATTAACGCAAAATTAAATAATTATTTTAGTATGACTACAATAGCTAAAATGAGCCAAAGGGGAACTCCTCTTTTCAAATCCAATCTGCATGAAATTCTATTTTCGCTTTTGGTATCCAAATGGTTTTAAGGCTTACATTAAAATGCGTAATTAATGGCAAAAATCCGCTGTGGTCATTTTTTCTGTTGTGTGTGTCGTTAACTTAACAATTAGGATTAAGATTTGCATTCGTTTTGCATTAGAAACTAAATAATTCTTGTAGTTTTCCCTTCGTTTCTTGTAGCTGGTGTGTTGTTGAATATTGTTGGTGTACGAGTACTATATATATATGAGCTCTTTCTTATTTAGGACTACCAACCAAATTTCACATAACCTTTGTATTTGATTTTTCGTATTTTAAAATTAATTTACATTATGGTATTGGCAAAGTAGTTTTTTGCGTTGTGTCGTATTGTGTTCGTATTGAGTGTGTTTCTTCTTCCGCACATTTGGATGTTCTAAGTATAAGGTTTAAAAATTAATTAATATATGCATGCATGCTGTATGAACTAAGAATTTATTTATAAAAAATTTCACTAGCAATTAAATTCTCCCCCGTCAATAATTACAGCTTAATTACACTCATATAGACAGAATATCAATAATTGTTGTTGTTGTTGTTTGTCATAGAAGGCAAATTCAATAGAAACTTAAATGCAGCTCAATCGTCATCGTCGGACGAATTGGAGGACAACTGCAGATCGTTTTGCAGCAAATCATTTGGAAATCCACCATTGGGCGCATACACGCCGGACATTTGTTGCTGTTGTTGTTGTTGTTGCTGTTGTTGCTGCTGCGGCTGCATCTGCTGATGGTGATGATTGTTGTAGGATGGTGATATGGAGCCCAAGCCCAGATTGGGCAGCTGATTCATGTGCTGCTGGGACTGCTGCTGTTGATGGCGTTGATGGTGTGGAGCTGGCTGTTGTATCTGCTGATGCTGCTGCGGCTGCTGTTGGTGTAGTGGTTGTTGGTGATGCTGCTGCTGTTGTTGTAGTTGCTCAGGTTGCCCTTTCATTGGACGATCATCCTCGGTGCTGTCATCAGAGTCGCTGCCGCTATCACTGTCGCTGGAATCCGAATCGGAACTTGAGCTGGAGGCACTTAGAGCACCGCCAATTTGCTGCGAATAAACAAAAACCACAAATTGAGTTACATTGGAAGACTAAAAGACACCAAAACCCACCTGTTCGAGAGCGGCCGCCGCTTGTGCCACAGACTGTGAGGCCAAATCGTGTTCTCTGGATGAGTCCAAGTCCATGGGCATATTATTGCTATAGCCGTAAGATGTGGCACGCTGCTGCTGATGCTGCTGTGGAGAGTGCCGTTGTGGATGTTGCTGCTGCTGTTGCTGTGGAGAGTGCCGCTGTTGGTGTTGTTGCTGCTGTTGTGGGGAGTGCCGCTGATGCTGCGGCTGTTGCGGAGAGTGCCGCTGATGCTGCTGCTGTGGAGAGTGCCGTTGTGGCTGGTGCTGTTGCTGTGGATGCTGCTGTTGTGCGTAGTTATTGCCGCCATTGTAGCCCCCACGACCGTAGTTTGGCTGTTGCTGTTGCATGGGTGGACTGGATCGCTGTTGCATCTGCTGTCGCTTGCCATGCGCCTGCCTCTGCTTTGCCATGTGCGACGAAGACGAGCTCGAACCACCATAGTGATCGGGCTGTCCTGAAGACGAGCCCGTCGAGGAGCCAGAGATATTCGCCTGACCGCCATTGTGCATAGCGGCCCTCAAGCCAAAGTCATCGTCATCCGTTATCATCGGAATGCTGGGCAATGTCTGTTGGGCATTGTTTGCATCCCAACTGAGAGAATAATTTCAAAACATTAGCTGGCTGCCTGCAGACTGCCCAAAGAGAAGAACTTACGCCGGCGCAGACTGCGGACTGCGATGGGTGACCACTGGACGCGAAGGGGAGCTCTGCTGCATGGGAGAATTGCGTGGCTTGAAGTCAACTAAAAGGTAATGAAATTGCAAATTCAAATGAGTGTTTCCAATCGCACTGACTGCAGTCGATTGTTACGTACTTATATTATTCCGACGACTGCCCGTCGAGACCTTTGTCTTGGTTGAGATCCGCATGGTGCTGTTCTCCAATTTGCCGCCAGCTCCGGGTTGAGGTCCTGGTGCCATTTGTGCCATGGCTGGCGGCACAGATCCGTTCGTGCCTAGGACCTGGCCTTGATGGCCCATATTCATGGCCACATTCTGTGGCGGCAGCTGCACGGGCTTGTTGGTGACTTCACTTCTGCAAAGTGTATACAATATTCGGTATAATACGTTGATGACTCGGTACTCGCACTCTCTTATCACTCACCTTGTCTTCTTCACTTGTATGTTATGGTTGAGCTTCTCAATTGTGATAGCACCCGTCTCCTTGTCGTAGATCATCAAGCACTCCTTCGCATACTCTCTCTGATTACCCTTATAAACTGTATGAGGCACACCGGAACTTTCTGCAATAGAAACAAAACAAAAGAGTATTCTATAAGTATTTGCTCGTAAATAAACAGGTTCAACGAGAGTTCAGTTTAACGGAGTTCAATTTAACTCCAACCGAAATTAATATGGAAACTTAACTATCATGCTTTGGTGTTGTTTATAAAGGTGAAATGCAATACGTGAAATGCTTGCTTCAAGTCTCCGTCAAGCTCTCACAGCAGACTCAAAGTTTAAGTATATTGCCCAAGGCAAAACCAAAATAAAAAGCAAAATAATGAGCAACGAGCCGAACCCAAACGAAATGTGAGTGCCAGTGCCCCAGGCAACAGTTGAGCTGAAAGAAACTCATTTTCTATGCCCAATGGAGCAATTCGTTTGATAAATAAATAAATACCCTCAAGTGGGTTGCCTCTTATGAGTACAAGCTGAAGGAGCAGCTTTTGCCACCTGAAAGAATATTGTATACGATAATCCGCATAACATTCTTAGTACTCCCATACAGGAATTTATTTATTTGATAGTTTTTCCTGCACCGAAATCGTGCATAGTGGAGACATTTGATACACTATAATCTCGCTACGGAATGTAGTAATCTCATGGCTAATAGCCATGACAAATCGTCATCTCTATATGGGTTATTGTATGCCAAATCTCCAAACCATTTTCGAACAGAATGTGGAATATGCCGGTGCTCTTGCTCGGTGAGTTAGATGGAACCCATGTAAACGATGTATCTGAGATACTATAATATTACTAGGGTTGCTTGGAAGGACTAGTAGCCAAGGAAACGATAATTGCGACAATGAGTGCAAGCTATTGCAATACGAAAAGGCTCTGCCAAATGCTTTGGCCGTGTACGAGTACCAAAATACCATCGTACCTCCCACATTTCCCACCGGTCCAGTTGACAGCAACTTTATTGCACCTAAATCGAGATTTAGCAACGCGAAAAATGCTGCGTGCAGAGTGGCAAAATTGATAAAACCGAACAAATCGGTGCCTAGTTGTGAGGAATTGTACGAAATTGGTATATCGAAACGTGGGCCCGATGATACCGATGACATGGATGAAAATCCCATTCGAGAACTAAACCTACCCGTTCTCAGAAAGGGAGATATGTTAACCATGTGCAGTGCCATGCGTGATATCCTAAGGAAAATCAACATGTCTGAAGAGGAGAAAAATCAGGAATACGAACAAATGGAGAGCCTGCTCGGCGATGTCATCGCCGTGACCTTAGTTTCTAAACAGAAAAAGCGGAAAACCGAACCCGAAATTCTGGCCAATGCCCTCAATTCCATGTGCGGCAATTTGTGTGTAGGAAGTTTGTAAATATCGGAAAATCCGATATAAAATAATAGGCACTCATAAAATGTTTAAGATAGTTGGATAATCTTTTTTCTTCTGTTGAAAAATGTTCCACAAATGAAATTGTGGATTAGTGGAACTTGTCCAAAGTCTAATCTAGACACAGCTTTGAATGGGCGTTCCCTTTTAAATTAAATCATTTATCCATAGATGTTATACGAGTAAAAAGTGCTTGACTAATCCACAACGCTATTGAAGCGACTGTACTGCAAAATTGCACTAATTTCCCAAGGCGATGCGGCTGTTAGCTGTGCTCTTTCTGGGTGAGTTGTTCGTTACATCACAAAGCAGTGGCTTCCTACTTAATGCTTAAATACTCAAAGAGTTACTTGCCATGTCAACGGTCTACGGTCAGGATAATTGCGACAATGAGTGCAAGCTATTGGAATACGAAAAGGCTCTGCCGAATGCTCTGGCCGTGTACGAGTACCAAACTAACATCAAGCCTCCCACATTTCCCCATGGTCCGGTCAACAGCAGCTTTATTCCACCTAAATCGAGATTTGACAATGCAAGAACCGCAGCGTGTAGAGTGGCAACATTGATAAAACCGAAAAAATCGGTGTCTGGTTGCAAGAAGCGGCAAAGGCAGCGGTTGTGGTTTGGTGTTTTTGGTAATGAACCACCACCAAAAGTATGGCCGCAAAGATATACGAAGACCACGGAGGCGTTTACCGGATATCACGACACGACCAGAGTAAAAGGACGACAACAACAACAACGACAACAACACCTCGGCCGCCACCGCCAAGACCAGCACCTCCACGCCCTCGCCAACCACCACCCACGCCACCTCCGACTACGTCACAGACGCAGTACCAAAAAGGTCAGTATATCTGGCGTCTTCGGCCCGATATCAAAAACATGGATACCAATCCAATTCGAAAACTAAATCTACCCGAAATCGGAAAGGAAGATCTTGTGACTTTATATTCTAATCCCAAAACGCGTAAGAGAATCGATCCTGATCTATTGGCCAATGCCATCAATTCTATGTGCGGCAAATTGTGTGTGGGAAGTTTGTAAATATGTTCTGCAAGATCGCAATAGGAACAGAAATTCCTTCAGATTTTCAGTGAGCATAATAACACGTGCTTATTCAGCTAAGCAATAAACATTATCGGTGCACATGAAAGATCCCACCTGCTCTGCTTATCTTTTCCTGTTTAGAAATTTTCTCCATCTCGGAATTGTCGAACAGGAATATACCTTTTCCAAGTTCTAATCCAGACACAGCTTTGAATTCCTTCATAATTTAATCGTTTATCCATGGCTTTTAGACGGTTAAAAATTACTTCACCAATCTAAAACTCTTTTTAAGCGGCTAATTTCAACATATTTTCTGGGTGAGTTGGATAAACCAAAAAACTCCACAGCGTGCCAAAAGAACTGCTTCCGCTTGCGAAAACGAGACCCAGAAGTTGGCATAAATAAATAATTTATAGCAAGAATGGCGATGGCATTGGGGGTGAGAGAGATATTGAGAGAGGAAGAGGGGGAACAAAAGTGCATGGCTAATGGAGGTGGCACGTGGGAGCGCTGCAATGCCAGTAGTTCGCTTTCTTTCTTTTTGTCTTTCTTTTGCTACTTTGCTTCGGCCGTCAGCTGAGCCAAGGTGAATTTACTTCCAAGGTTATGTCTTTACCACTGGGCAATCTCTCTGTCCTCCCCATAGCGGACAACGTCAACTTCTAACTAAATTCAAAGTGGCCGTGAAATTTACCATGAAATCAAAGACCAGAACTGTGCAAGAATTAAATCCTTATAAACTGTGGCAAACAGTCAATCTGCAGTGCAAGATCAAATGTGCAAGCAGAAATGCGGAATTTCCTAATTTTACCTGGTGAGTAGTTTTAGGTTGCTAGTCAAAAAATGTAATTAAATAAATTGCATTTATCCAAAGCTCTACTTGATGTGTTGCAACTGCAATGTATGGCATTTTCTTTCTCTAATCTGCACTCTCTGTTCGATAAAATGATTGAAGAAGGAACTCGGGTACTTCAAACGAGTCCCGAGGCGACGACAGAGACGAAGAACGAAATTTTTATGCTGGATATTTTACTCCAGCTGTGCCAAGTAGAACAGAAGAATAGAAAAAAAGAAGCTGCTCATAACACAAACATCAACAACAACATTAATAATATAAACAACGTAATTGAAAGCCCAAAACTCCAACAGCCACCCGTTACCATTATTATTAATAATCATGGATTGATTCCCCCATCCAAGAGAAGAGGAAAAGTTCATGTTTTAAGGAGAAAATATAGATGGCAGCGAGAATATCGTTTTATTATCGAGAACAATAACGACAACTCCTCAAATGTGCAAAAAATAATACGAAATTCGAGAGGAAAACAGCGACGTCGAGTTCAAAACCGAAGCAATCAACTCTCAGTGCGAACGAATAATACAACTCTAGATTCTGATGTGAAAGAATGTATTCGGGTGAAAGTAAAGGAACTGGAAAAAAAATAATCCACGGCACTCTCATACAACACTTTATGCAAATACAATTTCATTCAAATCAGCAACTTTGAACATTATTTCTAGGCCAGTTTCTCACTAATTGTAACAAATATTCGGTGTGCCTTTTCCCTGGTTAAAGAAAGGAGATGTGGCGTATGCCGTCATGGCTCTTGATAAAATGGAATATTCATGGCTATATTATAAAATGTGCTTGACAAATCGTCGTCTCCTTATAAGTGACTGTACTCCCACGACCCCACAATATTTATTTTATACAGCACGATGCGAGTGCTGCCCGTGTTTTTTCTAGGTAAGTTTTATGGATTCCTACTGCACACCACATGGACGGCTTATCCTTATCCTTACCTTTGCCTTTAAGCGGTGCTCTTCTCGACAAAGATCGACGTACAGGAGTGTTGCGACCATGATTGCAAGTTACAGCAATACCAACAGGCCCTGGAAAATGCCGTATACGTGTATCAAGCACAGAGAACCCAACCAGGCATATTTCCAAGAACTTCGATTATAAACGGGCGCACTTTTGGGCTTTTATGTGGACTAAAAACTCTAATATGTTTCGTGGGAAGGCTTTTTGGATATATTTGTCAACGGCATTGTGGACAGCCACCGCCGTCCCCGCCGCCACCTCCACAATGTCCACAAATTGAGCCGCCTCTGTGTGTTTGTCAACCTCCACATCCGCCAGGTTGGCCTCCACATACTTCGCCTCCACCATATTGGCCTCCACATACTTGGACTCCACCATGGCCGACTCCACCATGGTCAACAACAAGATGGCCACCTCCATCTGGACCGACTTCGACACCAAAAACTTCAACACCCACTTGGCCGACTCCACCTTGGTCAACACCCACATGGCCGACTCCACCTTGGTCAACACCCACATGGCCGACTCCACCTTGGTCAACAACAAGATGGCCACCTCCATCTGGGCCGACTTCGACACCAAAAACTTCAACACCCACTTGGCCGACTCCACCTTGGTCAACACCCACATGGCCGACTCCAACTCGGCCAACATCGACAACACCAACTCCACCAACAACTACACCAACACCAACACCTCCACCTCGACCGTCGACGACACCTAATTCACCGACATCGAGGCCGCCAACACAAAATACAACAACAACAACAACACCAACAGCACACCCAACACCACCAACCAAAAGC